GGATTATTGTAACTCTCTCCTAATTGGTCTTCCCAGAAGTTGCATTGCCCCACCACAGTCTGTAATGAATGCTGCAGATAGACTGATTTTCCTCTCAAGTTGCTCTTCTTACACCTCTCCCCTGTGTCAGTCCTTACATTGGCTTCCTGTATCCTATAGGAGTCAATTCAAGGTACTAATCCACACCTATAAAGCACTGACCATTTCTAGCCCCACCCCCCCCATTATTCTTCACTTATCCGTAGGTATGCCCCTTCTCGGTCTCTTCGCTCTGCACATGACCTACTCCTGTCTGCTGCTCGCACCCATATGACCAATTCACGCTTGCAGGACTTCTCGTGGGTGGCACCTTTCCTTTGGAATAGCCTGCCTACCACCATCAGGCTCTCACCTAGTCTTCAATCATTTAAAAAGTGAATCAAAACTAATCTGTAATGGCTACCCAGGTTGTAGAGGGGTATCTGCCATTGGAGACGTCCTTCTTCCCGGCAAGATGCTGTGCTGTAGTGTAGTCACGCCATCCCATCCGCTGATACTAAGATATGTAACAGGGTTGATGTTCCAGGAGGGATAAGCCAAATGGCAAATGATTTAGGTAAACTAGAAAAATGGTCAGAATTGTGGCAAGTGACATTTAATGTTGATAAGTGCATATTGGACGTAAAAACCCAAGGGCAGAGTACAGAATATTTGATAGAGTCCTAACCTCAACATATGAGGAAAGGGATTTAGGGGTGATTATTTCTGATGACTTAAAGGTAGGCAGACAATATAATAGAGCAGCAGGAAATGCTAGCAGAATGCTTGGTTGTATAGGGAGAGGTATTAGCAGTAGAAAGAGGGAAGTGCCATTGTACAGAACACTGGTGAGACCTCACTTGGAATATTGTACACAGTACTGGAGACCATATCTTCAGAAGGATATTGATACCTTAGAGAGGGTTCAGAGAAGGGCTACTAAACTGGTTCATGGATTGCGGGATAAAACTTACCAGGAAAGGTTAAAGGATCTTAACATGTATAGCTTGGAGGAAAGACGAGACAGGGGAAATATGATAGAAACATTTAAATATATAAAGGGAATCAACACAGTAAAGGAGGATACTATATTTAAAAGAAGAAAAATCACCACAACAAGCGGACATAGTCTTAAATTAGAGGGGCAAAGGTTTAAAACTAATATCAGGAAGTATTACTTTACTGAGAGGGTAGTGGATGCATGGAATAGCCTTCCATTTGAAGTGGTAGAGGTTAACACAGTAAAGGAGTTTAAGCATGCGTGGGATAGACATGAGGCTATCCCAACTATAAGACCAGGGACTAATGAAAGTATTTAGAAAATTGGGCAGACTAGATGGGCCGAATAGTTCTTATCTGCCATCACATTCTATGTTTCTTTGACCTGTATCCCTGATCCCTTTTTTCCTAAAAGTTTCTGGAAAGACTTGCCTTTACCCGTCTGACTTGTTTCCTCAATTCCAACTCTCTCCTTGACCCTCTCCTGGCTTCCGCCCCCTCCACTCTATTGAGACTGCTCTTATTAAAGTCACTAATGACCTAATCACAGCTAAACCCAAACTAATTCTTCTTGACCTCTCTGCTGTCTTTGACACTGTTGACCATATTCTTCTCCAAACTCTTCACTCTGTCTCTGTGACACTGTCTACTCGTGGTTTTCTTCCTATCTCTCCCAATGTTCATTCAGTGTCTAATGATACCTCCTCCCTTCTTCTTGTCTCTGTTGGAGTCCCCCAAGGTGCTATACTTAGTCCCCTTCAATTTTCTCTTTATACTGCTTCTCTTGGCAAATTTATTACCTCATTTGGATTACAATACCACCTGTACACTGATGACACCCAGATATACCTCTCCTATCCAGACCTCTCGTCTGCTGTTCTGCAACGTGTCACTGCTTGCCTTTCTTCCATCTCTTATTGGATGTTCTCCCGCTTTTTGAAACTCAAACTCTCTAAAACTGAACTTCTTGTCTTTCCTCCTACCAATAATGATACTCCTCTCTCACTCTCCCTTCATGTTGGTGATACCTACATCAGCCCCTTCTTGCAAGCACACTGTCTTGGCGTTATATTTGATTCTATCCTCACCTTTGAGCCTCACATTCAGTCTGTTACCAAATCCTGTAGATTCCAACTTAAAACCATAGCCCACATCCGCCCCTTTCGTACGCAAGGTGCTAAGAAGCTTGTCCATGCTCTAGTAATCTCTCACATGGATTATTGTAACTCTCTCCTAATTGGTCTTCCCAGAAGTTGCATTGCCCCACCACAGTCTGTAATGAATGCTGCAGCTAGACTGATTTTCCTCTCAAGTTGCTCTTCTTACACCTCTCCCCTGTGTCAGTCCTTACATTGGCTTCCTGTATCCTATAGGAGTCAATTCAAGGTACTAATCCACACCTATAAAGCACTGACCATTTCTAGCCCCACCCCCCCCATAATTCTTCACTTATCCGTAGGTATGCCCCTTCTCGGTCTCTTCGCTCTGCACATGACCTACTCCTGTCTGCTGCTCGCACCCATATGACCAATTCACGCTTGCAGGACTTCTCGTGGGTGGCACCTTTCCTTTGGAATAGCCTGCCTACCACCATCAGGCTCTCACCTAGTCTTCAATCATTTAAAAAGTGAATCAAAACTCATCTGTAATGGCTACCCAGGTTGTAGAGGGGTATCTGCCATTGGAGACGTCCTTCTTCCCGGCAAGATGCTGTGCTGTAGTGTAGTCACGCTATCCCATCCGCTGATACTAAGATATGTAACAGGGTTGATGTTCCAGGAGGGATAAGCCAAATGGAAAATGATTTAGGTAAACTAGAAAAATGGTCAGAATTGTGGCAACTGACATTTAATGTTGATAAGTGCATATTGGACGTAAAAACCCAAGGGCAGAGTACAGAATATTTGATAGAGTCCTAACCTCAACATATGAGGAAAGGGATTTAGGGGTGATTATTTCTGATGACTTAAAAGGTAGGCAGACAATGTAATAGAGCAGCAGGAAATGCTAGCAGAATGCTTGGTTGTATAGGGAGAGGTATTAGCAGTAGAAAGAGGGAAGTGCTCATGCCATTGTACAGAACACTGGTGAGACCTCACTTGGAATATTGTACACAGTACTGGAGACCGTATCTTCAGAAGGATATTGATACCTTAGAGAGGGTTCAGAGAAAGGCTACTAAACTGGTTCATGGATTGCGGGATAAAACTTACCAGGAAAGGTTAAAGGATCTTAACATGTATAGCTTGGAGGAAAGACGAGACAGGGGGGATATGATAGAAACATTTAAATATATAAAGGGAATCAACACAGTAAAGGAGGATACTATATTTAAAAGAAGAAAAACTACCACAACAAGAGGACAGTCTTAAAGTAGAGGGACAAAGGTTTAAAAATAATATCAGGAAGTATTACTTTACTGAGAGGGTAGTGGATGCATGGAATAGCCTTCCAGCTGAAGTGGTAGAGGTTAACACATTAAAGGAGTTTAAGCATGCGTGAGATAGGCATAAGGCTATCCTAAGTATAAGATAAGGCTAGGGACTAATGAAAGTATTTAGAAAATTGGGCAGGCTAGATGGGCCGAATGGTTCTTATCTGCCGTCACATTCTATGTTTCTATCCAAGTAAAGAGAGAAGCAGAGCTCTTAAAAGAGCTAGTGATTATGCTGAACAGGTTTCCTTTCAATAACGAGACAAGGCTACGTTTTGAAGGGTTAAGCAGAACTGATTTAATGACCACACAAGCAGTTTCTTTTATGCAGGTTTCACAGTAAGGTTACCACCCACGTGAACCTGGTGGGGCACTAACAATGGAAATACAGCAGCCAATCAGTTACAGATTTACACTAACAGCACACCCATTAATTACAGTACATTCCTCCCCTCTGCTTAGGAGATAATTGAGTTAATCGTTATATCAGCTCAATTATCTCCAAGCGAACATAGATACTCTTTTTCACATTTTCTGTAACTCTAAAACTATGCATACGATTTTAACACAAGTTACATTTTAATAACTGGTACAATTAGGGAAACAACATTGTTACGGTTGCCTCCAGGCTGGCTGGAAGTTGGACTGCTTGGATATCCTGGTTCCCGAACTTGGAGAGGGGGAGGGCCGCTCAAATCAGCATACAGTAGTAATTCCTGGAAATGTAGAACATCCCACTAGCTATAGCACAGCTAGGATACACTTTTCCCTATAACACGAGTCGAGGCTTCGAGTTTGAAGGTAAAACAAACTGATTTAATGGCACTCAGACAGGACAATTTATGCAATGTTCAGACCAAGGGACAGCCCCCTCTGGACCTGATGGTACACAGGACAATGACATATTTTATCCAATGGAAACACAGTGCAACATTTGAAAACGTCCCTGCCTAGCTTGGAGATAATTGGCCTTAACGGTTACAATGACCTAATTATCTCCAAGCACATGGAAATACCAGATTTTACACCCAAAAGAAAATAACATAAAAATATATAACTTTAACATTGTAATATGAAAATAGTGCATGCGACCATTCGCCGGATAGCTCAGATCTGAGCACACAAGGTGTATGAATTGCACACATCTCTCACGAACGAGGTGCAAGAGTTCTGATATATAAGTCTGTTCATATGGGGTTGTACGAATGGATGGGATAACCGGCACTTCAGCGGGATTCGTATAAATCAGTGACCGATTACAGTTCCAGGTGTTTTAGCTCCAGGCCCCGCGGAGCATTTGACGACACAAAGATGGCCACCGCGTGTTCGAAATACGAACGGTGCCCACCTTGGAATAGGTACTTAGAGTACGATTAAAGGACCACTCTAGGCACCCAGACCACTTCAGCTTAATGAAGTGGTCTGGGTGCCAGGTCCCTCTAGGATTAACCCCTTTTTTTATAAACATAACAGTTTCAGAGAACTTTGCGTGCCGGGTGATACCGGAAGGGAGGGTGTTCAACAGGTTCCTCTCATGGGCAACCAGTGATGTACCATCACCGCATCATTTCATTCGGGTGTCGGCATCCATGAAAGCCAATCTGGATGTGTGGGAGGTTTTTCAAATGGACTTTAATGGGTGGGTGTATTTCCGGGAGCGCACGACAGCTTTCACGGACTTTGAGTTGTTCACAGACGCATCGGGAGCATCGGGTTTGGAGCTTAATTCGCAGTGCACTGGTGTGCCAATCCATGGCCGTTGAAGTGAAAAGCCAGCCCGCTCATCCGCAACTTGGCGTTTCTTTAATTCTTTCCTTTAGTGGTGGCGCTGGTATTGTGAGGGCAGCAGCTGAGGGACAGGAGAGTTATCTTCTTTACCAACGATATGTCTGTGGTGGAGGCTGTTAATGGTTTATCTTCTTCTTCTACCATGTTATTCGGCTCATTCGCCATTATGTTCTTTCCTGCATGCAGTTTAATGTTGTGTTCATGGCGCAGCACGTGCGCAGGCTGTTGAACATGGTGGCTGATTTGCTCTTTCGTTTTCAGTGGGAACTATTTCAGGCAGTGGCTCCAGGCGCTCAGACAGAGGGAGAGCCTTGTCCAGTGGACGTGTGGCAGCTCGGAATATCTTGCTTGGCGGGCTCATAAGTGGGTCGTTGGCGCCGTACACATGGGTGGCCTACGTCAAGGTTTGACAAGAATGGGATGCTACAATGGTGTGTGCGGGAGGTCAGGATTCTGTTAGGAGATTAATTTTTTTATGCATGCTGATGGTTCGTTGTCCAAATTTCAGTTCCTTAGGGTTTTTCGATTTAGCCTTGAGTCGGTTGGGCTTGGGGCCAGGGCAGTTTGGGACACATTATTTCAGCATTGGGGATGCCACTAAAGCAGCTTGGTTGGGTTTGGTGGATGACATGATCAAGAAGATCGGTGTGAAAGAATTTCCAGCACCATTCGGTTATTTCCACTCCCTGCTATCTGTTTCCCTTAGTTATTCGTTTTATATTTTGTCCGTCCGTTAAATCATTCATTTTACCGAACCACCCTGGGACTAATTAGAACGTGGAACACTGTGTAGCAATACAAAAACCGCAAACTAATTGAATGCTCCTAGGTGTATACGAATGCACGTGGTGAGAACAATGGATGGCGGCCATCTTGTCTCCCGAACGCGGCCAGCGTGACTTGGTCGTCGAGTGCCTGGAACTGTTTTCGGCAACACACTCGCACGAACCCCGGTCTCTATGGAAGTCCCCTACGTTCTACTTCCCAGCACTGTAGACGAACGGCGTTTGGGAGTTGGAAACAGACGAACGACAGGAGCATTCTACACTAACCACCTTTATTTCATTTATTGCGGTTTTTGTATAAATCAACGCGAACGGAGACTGGCTCTTGCTACAAATCCTCTGGAACTGTTTCTCGGATTCACCCTCATGGCAAACCGGTCAAACTTCCACACGGTGCCGTTCGAAAACTGCCAAACGGATTGGGCTGAAATTTTAATATGTTTCTCCCACAGAGATCAGCTACCCAGGGATATGTGGGGTTTTTATGGAAAATGTGAAAATGTAAACTTTTTCTGGCCAGCAAATAATTGAGTTTAGTATGTTTCCAAAACTCAATTATCTCGCTGGCTCATAGGAGGAGTTATGTGTTGTATAAATTGAATGCCTCTTCTTGCCATTAAACCAGTCTTGTTCCAGCATTAAGCTTTGGCTCATGTGTGGATTATTATGCGATGCCTGCGATATCGTAACCTTGGGGTTACTGGCGATATTCTTTCAGGGAATAATGGAATGCTAAACGGTGCAGACCGTCACAATCGGGAGGTGGGAATCCGTAAGATTCAGATCATATGTGAGCCCAACCAGTTAGTTTGGGTTTGGTTGCTATGGTTTTTGTTTGTTCTGTGTTTGGTAACTTGTTTTTCTTCTGCAGGTTGGATTGCATGGGTGTTGGGACACTCGTACGTGTACTGGGCACAACGGAGAGCTGCAGTTCATCTTAATGGCTTACAGCTGGGCTTCCCCCGCTTGATGGTGCAGATTGAGTGGTTTGGTTAGCAAGGGGTGGGTTTTAGTTAGCAAGGGGTGTGCTTGGAGCTGTTTCAAAGGATTAGAGAGGGTAGAGTGCCGGATAATATTCTGTTTCATGACGGGAGGGAATTAAAAAAACATTTTGGTCAATAAGATCCACATAGTAGAATAAGGGGTTTTTACATTTCTCCAAGTACCCATATTAAATAAATATTTAAAACTTTTCACTAAAAAAGCCCCATTCCCATGGGCATTGGACTTTTAATTAAATAATGGGGCACGAGCAGATCACTGACCAATGAACTATAAGGGCTTTCTTTACAATGCAAGCTCATTCTGCAATGTTTATTGTGTCACATTTTTAGTTTTTGTTTTTTTTCCATTGTTTTCCCTTTTCTACAAATCATGTTTCATTTTTGTTAGTGACCCGTGGGTGGGGCTATTTAAATAAACTGGGGCACCTATTATTCTTCCCAACCCCTAAAACATAAAACATCGGCAGTGGCTGAAGACTTTAAATAATAACTGTAGAAACCTACTGTCCCCCAAAACCTCACTTTTTTGCCGGTGGGAGGGAGCTTTAAATCTACTAACTGAGGGGGATCTATAAGCCCCCCATGAGCTGGTAGGGGGACAGTAGGTCTCTCCCTGGTAATATTTTGTGCCCCCACCTGCTAATGGATGGGGGCTTGGTGGGACAATAGGTTCCCACCAGGCCATTAGCCTGCTGCTAATGTGTGGTGGCTGGACACTAGCTACCCACTGCTGTTCATTTAATAGCTCCCATCCATTGGCCACGGATAAGGCAATGTGGGGGAGGGGGGGCACTATGCCATCCCTGCTTTATTTTTTTATTCATTTCTCAAATGTGGAGTCACAGGGGACCTGTGCCAAGTATCCCTTTTATTGGATTAGCAGCTGGGCAGTTCTTTTGTAAGACAGTGAGCAGCCACAGGTTAGTAGAGATGCCTCTATTTACAGCATGTCAGGTGGAAGCATGATGGAGGATCTAAACCCCACTAATACTAATATGGGGTTCATATTGACCCCCATACACTTAATATGTTTAATCCACACATGTGGCATTGGGTGAGAGCGGGATTTAGGAAGCGGTGGGGAACAAAGTTATCTGTTGATTCTATTTTTAAAATGTCTAACAAGCAATTCGGTCTTCATCTATTTAGTTGTTTTGCATTTGTCTTTTTGTCTTTTGCAAGAGTGGCTGAATTGCCCAAAATTTAGACATAAAAAAAATACATGATTGTCCAAAATGAAATGCCTATGTATTTGTCCAAAAACGAAAGTTTATTTAGCATGCATTACTAAATATACACATGGGTTATAAAATTGTACTGTAAAAATCTTATAGATCTACCACATATTTTCATAATACTGTGCCTTGTAAATATGTCCTTTTGTCCAACATGCATTTAACTGGGGAGCTTTTTAGTCTGGAAATCGAGAGTAATGCTGGCATGGTGTTTTACAGCATTAGCTCAACCAGCATTTTGTATCATAAATTCAGAGCAATGGTAAATGATAGTTTCCTTTCTAACAAACATAGGTCCAATGCCAAACAGTCTGCAGTAAGTGAAATCCACAGGAGGACATTTAGATGTTTCCACCTCTGTAATTTATTTGTTGTTATTCAGGATGCACAGACAGCTGCTAAGCTTTGTCTTCTACAAAAAAAACTAAAAAACAACAATCGAAATACACACAGATAGATAGATGTATAGATATATATATGTATAGATATATGTATAGATAGATAGAGAGCTGTATAGATAGACATTATATTACACACACATTTCCTGTTCATATTACATGCAAATTATGCAATTCTCTTGTCATTAAACATTTTTAAAATACTTACATGTTTATAAGAATGAGTCTACCGAGCAGACATGCTGCCATGTACAATTGACAGTATTGGGGATAAGATATGTAATTTAGCAGACGTTCATCTCTGTGTCGATGGCTGGAGAAATCCATGAACTTGCATTATCCTGAAGCACATTGTAGTAATACATCAATGCATTTGAGAAACTGTCTCAGTGGAAAAACTTCCGTCTATCATCGTTATTACAAACTTTAGCTATTTTATTGATATTTAGGCATTCCTTCATACTTTAAATACACAGTTATTATCCCTCAAGAAAGATTATAGCTTATACTAATTGGGGTGAAACCTGCCTTTAGGGTAAATTCATTCGAGCACAGCTGCCATATGACTACGAATCAACTTTGTGATAATGATTTTGTTCAATCTCTCCTAAGAGCTCATGCTTCTAAAGGTGTTCAGAGATCAGCAGATTTAACCCTTAAGGACCAAACTTCTGGAATAAAAGGGAATCATGACATGTCACACATGTCATGTGTCCTTAAGGGGTTAAAGAGGAAAGCCAGTTTGGAATCTAACATTTCCCCAAATAGTTGGCTACTGTTTTTAAAAAAATATATATATATATTATATAATAAGATTTATGTTTAATGTTACACTTGTATTCTTAACACTTTAGTGACTGTCATTATTTAGATAGCAGCCCCCCCGCATGTGCAAATAAAAAAAATTAAATGATCAAATAAAGATTTTTACTTATGTTTTTCCAGCACCGAGACTTCTTTGGCACTGCTTATCTTTACACCTCCCTCACGGTCAAGAAGGAGGCATGACCTTATTAAGTGAACAGTCTAAGCAACATAGCCCCTTCATAATGATGGAGCAAATAAGCCCATTGCTCCATTGTTATGGTGGGGCTATGTGTCACGGCTTACCTTAGTTGGGCGTCCGGTAGGCAGAGATTTATGCTCACCCTTGCAATTAAACACAGGCCAAGGTGGTCAGGTAATAATTCACCTGGCCTGTTAATCTGTGCACAGGGGCTGTGTAGAATATTGCTGCAAGACGCAGTACAGGTAAGGAAACAAGCAGGAGAATCGTCAAGGGTAAGCCAGTCAGAGGATGCCAGAAGTCAGGATACACGGTAAGAAAGCCAAGGTCAGGAGCCAACTGAAGAACACTGGAATCACGAATACTAACACAGGAACCAGCATTAATGAACTGACACTGCCCTCAGGAAGAGGCAGTGTCTTATACCTGTCTAATTAGGCATCTGCTTCAGGTAGGCTGAGATTGCTAGGTGCAGCCACAGGTAACGTCCAGCCCCCAGCGCTGGAGATAAGGCAGGAATAAACATCAGACTGAAGCAA